TATTTATAATCATTAAAGTATAATAACATAGACGAACTACCATTTTTAGTAGTGTTATTATATAATTATGAAAAAAAAGAATAAAATGATACCAATAGGCACTGTAATAAAAAATTTATGTAGATATAGCAATGTACATTTCATAATATTTTTAAAACATCAAATGCATGCAAATGTATATTTGCATACATACCACAATATTACAACATTATATATGAAACTTACAACATTTTATGATATTTGTGTATTTGTTCTTAGGTTCGATCATTCAAGATTTGCACATTTTATATTTTGCACTCAATATCTAGTTAAAAAGATACTATCTTTTAAAAGATAAATACAACAATGTTTGACATAATATGGCAAAAAGCTAATGTTTTTTTATATACATTATATATATATTATTTATAATTATTCTTGTGAAATTAAAGCTTTCCCAAAAATAAAAATATTAATTTATGAGTTTTGGGAAGAACTGCCACAACAAGAACTTTTTGTTGGTCGAGTTTCTTGAGTTTCATCTTCAACTACCACAACATTCCGACGTGTACTGCTAGTCCTTTGCAAACAAGACTTTTGTTCTACTTCATCGGCATGTTCTATCATTCTACATGTCAAATCCAAGAACATTTGCTCAATGTTTTGATTTAATTTTGCAGATGTATGAAAATGCATGGCACCAACTTGCTGCGCATATCTAGCAAAAAAATATTCATTTTATAAATCCATTTACTTCTCAAAATAATTTAAAAATTACTTACTCTTCTGCTTCTTCTATCGAAACATTTCGATCCTTTTCAAGGTCTATTTTATTGCCAGCAATCGCTAAAGAAATTTCACTGCCCAACATTTTTTTAAGTTCTTTTACCCAATTTTTAACCTAAATAAGTAAAAATGATATTACAGAGAAATTGATTGTAATAAAAATATTGAAAAAATTCTTATGCATACCTTTTGAAAAGTATCTTCATCTGTAATGTCGTAAACTAAAATAGCACCATTAGACATCCTATAATAAATTGGTCCTAGTGCATGAAATTTTTCCTGCCCTGCGGTATCCCATATTGCTAAGTTGACTCTTTTGCCATTTATATTTAACTTCTTATTTAAAAAAGATGCCTTAATAAATTATAATAAAGTAAAAGATCCAATTAGTGGTATATTATAACAGTTGACATGGTATATTAGAGAATATATTATATAATATATATTAATATATATTTACTATATATATGTTTATAAAATATTGTTGTATAATTTACTTAGGTAAAAAAACAAGACAAATGATTAAGTAATATAAAAATTTCATGTTATATGCAACAGTTATATCACTTACTTGAACAGTAGTAACATGTTTGTCATTAAATTTGTCTTCAACGTATCGTAATGCTACTGATGTTTTTCCTACACATCCTTCACCAAGTAACACAACTTTGAAATTATATCCATTTCCAGTATTACTAATCGAACTGGCCATAGTTTTCAAATAACTAATACGGTTAAAAGATGATATCACACGTACATATGTACCGAAGATCAATGTAGATTAACATTCACGTTGGTCCTATGCATATGTTGGTCATATTAATATAAGATTAATTTAATATAACAATTATATTTCTTATATAGTTAGACACTTATTTCTTTATAACGTCAAAATGAAAGCATCAGCTGTTTTCACCTCATACACATATCCATATACATACCACACTATAATTACATACAATCATACAATAAACATATATGTACACACATAGTATACGTACTATACTACATCATTGCAAATCTCATATACAGAGTGATTCATGAAAAAATGTCATAAATGCGATATATGATTTCTGAAATAATTTTAAATGTTCATATGAAGATGGCCCGATTTTGAACGTTTATAAAACAGTAGTTGTTGAATTCTACAAATAGCTAAGATTATATTACAATAATTTACATTTTGCGAAAGATAATCGGCAAACTTACAGTTTACAACTAAGAGGTGCACATATCTAGTGTTTTTAATAATTTTCAAAGGTACACAAGTTCATCGTGACTATCCCGTTTATGGCATTTAAAATACGTTTGATTAATGCCTCTCTTATTTTTACCTTTCTTTGGTAAATTATATGGGTCCTTCATCCCTGTAGGTATTCACTTCTGTAGGTAATAAATAATCTAGGGGGTTTAATCTGGGGACCTAGGTGACCAATTAATGGGCCCATACGGACGACATGAGATTTATACTACTACATTTATTTACATATAAACGAATGAACTGTTATTGTTTGAAAATAGTTATATGATTGAAAATATTTTATAAATTTTGAAGTCACCTTTATTATGACTGTGCACAAGTATGGCAATTACATATGTATGTGTCATGTGTTATAAAAGAGGAGGGAGACAGACAAAACAAAGAATATAAACCTTACGTAAAGGATAAGATAAAACAGGTAAGATAAGTAAAATTTGAAATGATGACAAATATCGCGACTTCTTACAATCGTTCTCATACATTCAATTTTGATCGTATAATTTTTTACGGTTCTACCATTCGTTAGTGATTACTTATATTGGATTAAAATGAATATATGTTACAATCCAATATTTGTCACTTTTATTATAAATCAAGTTTTTCATTCTAAATAATAGCTTACGATAGATATTATATATATTATACGTTATCATATACAATAAAAAAATATCAATACATTGTTTAAAAAATAAAAAATATGCAATAATTCTTTAATATATTTCTTACAATAAATGACATGATATATAATAATTAAAATTACACTGTATATATACTCCATATATATTTATAAGTTATATATAAATTAATATGATAAAAGTATGATTGGATTTGTTTCTTTTTTTGCAAAATTTGTATAATGATTCGAAAAATTGTTAATCGAATTGAAAAGTGTTTTAAATTTTCGCGGGAATAAATAAATGAAAAGTTAAAGTAATTGCATTACGATTTTCAACGTATCCGACTTTTCAACCAATGAGAGACTCGTTGAGAAGCACAATTAAGCAAGTCACCAATCGCGAGGAGTGATTTCTCTTGCTATGCAAGTCTGAATTGTTGAGTGCTTTCTCTTTTTCCCCCACCATTAAACTAGACGACATTCGAAGTCGTGTCGTAGTGTGGCGCAGCCATCCGATGGAAGGAGGCCACAGTTCGGAGAAACAGAGAGAAACCGCGGGATGTTAATGGTGGATGGACGGTGGAAGTTACCTCCTCGCTAGTCGTAAAAAAAGGTAGAGAACTAATGAACTGTCATGTGAGTGGTAGGAAAAGAAAGAAAGGATTTTGATTGCGGTATGTGATGAATGCTAACCCGGTTTGCGCCACGAATGTATACACGCGTGTGTTTGACGTAATGAGAACGAGAAACGGCACGCGCGCTCTTGGTGTGGCCCTCGTATATTTAATTGGAAGTGCATGTTGCGGCCTTTCGTTTGACATGTACGTATTTATATGCACCTTTCGAACACTTTCTTTCTTTCCATCTTTTTCTTAATTTTTTTGCTTTCTTCTGTTCTTCTATCGCATTTTTTTCTTTGTCATTTCTTACTTGATTCTTTATTCTTTTATCCAGTTCTCTACATCTCTTTCTATTTATCTTTTTCTTTCTATTTTTTCCTTTCTCTTCTCGAACGTTTCTCCACACATATATACAGTCTGTTGTCCAGCTTCTTTTTTTTTTTTTATAGATATATAACTTGCTGCACGACAAATTATCGGCCCTACCCGTTTGTGTTTTACATATCGCAATTTATACTTCATTCATATCGTTGCATCGAATTTTTATCGAGATCTCGATAAAAACACTTTATATCGCGAATTATAAATATAGAGGAAACAAGCAGCTTTTCTATCGATCGACACATTCTGCGAGATCATCGAGCTCCATCGTGCTCTGCGAAATATATCTGCATGCGAGCGCCTTAAAATCAGATTGAAGAAGAAAAGAAAAGCTTGTCAAAAAAATCAACTCTGCCAAGCCAACAGTCTTTTTTTTCCTATATGCATGTACATAAATACATACTCTTGTCTTCCTGGATTGCATTACAAGGTTTGTTTACCTCTTGCTCGCTTTTATTTAGTCAAAACTGAATTTGTGATATACAAAGATATCATCGGTGCGTCAATGTCACGGCCGATAACACATTGTGAATTCATCGAGGTTTGTCGTGAAAGAATGATGCATTACGAAAATAAATTTTAAAGCTCACCAAGTGGTTATGGTTTGCGAATAATCAAACGGATGGTGTCGTTGACTCTAGTTCTTTATCATCGTATCGCAAATGATCTTCATCCGTCGTCAGCTGACGAGATATTGTCAAGCATATCATTACGAGTTCAGCACGTTTTTCGTTCAGGTGCATGTATTATGCATTCTCGATGACAATCCAGTTTCAAATACTGCGTATATCGGACTTGTATTTTTTTCAGTAAATATATTTTATGTAGTCTATATTGTAGGATAAGTTTCAAGACTTGATGGCTTTTTAGGGACATAAGATATTTCCAAACGCTTTGCTCCTTGTGCAGTACAAAGGTAAAGAACTGCTACTGCATATTTTCTAACATAGTTGACAAAGGACGTTGTTTGTTGGAGTATTATTAATATAATCTTTAATATCTTTTTTCTTTTTTGTCTGAATAGAAAGAGTAAATTCGAAATCATTCAACTACGTATTGTTTCTTTAATTTTAATTCTTGATAACCTAGATCTGGATAAGACGTGAAATGTGCAGTGGTTAAATTCGTGCTCAATATTTCCTGCGAACGCTTTCAAATAATACCTGAAATGTAGAACCCTTTCATCTTCTCTTCACTGATTGTGAGATGGGAACACATCAAAGATATATAAATCTGGAACAGTGGTAAGAATTCTATATCGTATTCGTGTCGCATCTCTACTGTTCCGTAACGAACAATATTATAATTAAATATAAATTTTTTCCTTTTTTCTTCTACGTCATTTATATATATATATATATATAATAATACTCGCGGATTATGCATAACATGTTGAAATAATTTAATAAGATCTAATGTTTTTAATCTTTCCGTTTTACGCCTATTATTTGCCCGCTTGCTCTCATTTTTTTTTGCCTTCTTCTGTTGATGCACCACTCCCGTGCATCCGTTTTAAACTCATTCCGTCTGTTAGAGGAAGCTGAATATGATGGTATTCGGGATGATAGCAATAATAATTGCAACGGCGACTAGGTATGTTATACGTCACACTTGTTCAAGCTCGTTCGAATGTGGCGCACCGTTTACGCTTAGCGCGAGTCGACAAAGAAATAAAAGATCTAATTGCACCGACCGTTGACGCATTTTACCCTCGAGCATTCATCTCGTATCACTTTTTTTTTGTCATTCGTTAACATTTTATATTTGTTTAATTATCTAATTCGAAGTTAAGAGAATGTTCTTTCATATTAAGTAGACATAAATATATATTAATTAATATATAATGATATTAAATTTTTTAAGAAATAAATTGGATATTTGCATGAAAGCACTATCCTTCTTATTACATATTTCTGTTATATATATTATACTACTTGATTTTATTGAATTCAAGTAGATGTAAATATTTTCGCATCCTTGCACTTCGCTTGCTGAGTATTAAAAGACGTTACATAGACATATACGTAATTTTGTACAAGCTTCGTTCGTCTCTTTATAAATCGATTGGGATTCTTGAGCGGAGGCAACGAATTTAGATACACGATTGAAATGCATACCGTGAATCGGTGGTAGCATCCGTGGCAAGTTAGTATTGATGCTACGAAGAGTCGACGTTTCGCGTGAGTAGATCTCTTTTCTTCGTAACGTTTATATTCTTCGTGATTCTTTTTATTTTTTATTTATTTTTTTCTTTTTTTTTTTTTTTTATAAGAAAAAAGATCAAGATACATATATTTCTCGTTCTTCTTATTGTTAGTCTTATTATTATTACTATAATATTTCATGGATGTTTTCTCGGATGTCAAGATGTCCGGCCCTTTAAGATATTTATGGGGATGA